GAAAACGGCCCCCGGAGGCCAAACAAAACAAACAACTTTTCCGAACCCAGAACCTCAAGCCTGGCCCGCCCTTCCTGCTGGCTAGCACCAGCGCTAGGTACCTCGGACCCCCCGCGGGCTCCAAATCTGGTCTCTTGCTGCGCGTCCCCGCTGCAGACTCGACTGCTAGGGTGCCAGAACGCAAGCGGAAAATCTGGGCTTAGGCCGGGCATGTCCTCCTACAAGCGGCTTCTGAAGGAAAAGCGAAACATAGCCACAACATGCTAACAAATAGTCAACCGTAGTCCAACAATCGTTCCCCAACACAAAGTTGTTTGACTATCTTTGGCTGTTCCTCTCCTGTACAGGGACATGCCCAACTTCTATGAAGGGGCCCCAGGACACACAAATAAATACACACAAATAAAAATACTCCCCATATTTTCCCATATTTTCTGGGTTTCTGTCTTCCCGCCCACTTCCCATATTTTCCCATATTTTCTGGGGAATCCTGGACTAATTGTGTCTGTGTGTTTCTTTTCCTCCTGATTCTATCTGGGCACCGTGACCAACAGCAAGTGTTGCCCAAAAGCCGGCAGCGGTCGGCCAGCGTCGGAGGGCAACGCGGGCGAGGGCGCCACCAGGGCAGCGCCCCACCGCAGGGGCCGAAGACAGCTCGCCGCGGGCGCCACTCCGAGTGGCGCCCGCGGCGCGGTGCGTGGAACGGGCCGCCGGCGGGGTCGACGACAAGGACGACGACGACGACGGCGACGACGACGCGGGTGCCAATCTCTCTTTCGGCCGAGTGGGACGTCGAGCGGGCCGCCGGTGGGGCGCCCGGGCGAAAGCACACGATGATGTTGTTTGTTTGATTGTTTCCTTCTTTTCGTTCTCTCTCTCTCTCTCTCTCTCTCTGTTTATGTCATTGTGTGTTCACTCTCTCTCTCTCTCTCTCCCCTCTCCCGCTCCTCAGGCGGGGTGCCCTGAGGACAGGAGAGGGGTCCCATGCTGACCCTTCAATGGGTTGAGGTCGCTCGCCCTCACCTCAACCGCCGCTGCACGCCACTCCCAAACCGTCGCGCGTCGGAACAGAGCAAACGTAGGTATGCCTCGAGACGTTCGCCAAAACATTGGCCAACACGTTGAGCTAACACGCCGCGTGTTTACAAAGACGTTTTGAACACGGTACGAGTGGCGTTTCAACACGGGCCATCAGGGCAGCCAAGCTGAGGGGTGGTGCCCGAAGGACGGGAGAGGGATCCCGAGCTGCGCCTTCACTGTTTTTGCCTGCTGTTCGACTGTTCGCGGCGATGGCTGTAGGCTTCGGTTTCTGCATACGGCCCTCGGCCTGATCGGCCTCTGCGCAACACGCACGCAGAACTGACATCTGCAACGTACACTACACCAATGCACGAGGCAGGCGCACGTGAAAAGAAACCACCGACTTTCCAACTGATGGAAAGGGATCCCTGTTAGCACTATGGAAGAATCTGGGTGAGCCATACCTGTGTCTGGACGGACACGTGGGCAATCAAGGAGGATACGAATTTGGCAATGCTGCTTAACACCATGTAGCTTCGGTGCGGTAACTGTGGGACACATAGCGCCACTGCAAGGGGGCGCTGGCTCTGAAGGCCGCAATCCCGGTATATCGCCCACAAGATCCAACCTCCTCGAAAAGAGGTACTGAAGCTCCTAGCACCACTGCAAGGGGGCGCTGGCTCTGTAGGCTTCGATCCCTGTATGTCACCCACAAAAGCCAACCTCTTCAAAACAATGCACTGGAGCTCCTAGCAGTCCACTGCCGACCCCTGGCCCTGGAGCTCCTGGCAGTCGTGTGCTGCCCCGAGCGGGGCCCGGGCGTTCTGCGAACTACTTTTGGGCATGGCGGCGTGACGTCAAGCCGTTATAAAGCCGGTCGGAAAAGTCATTCGGGTCGGGCGAAAGGGGGGGATAGCAAAGGGGGGGTTTGAGAATCAGCTCACGTAGCTGATTTTCCCGGCGCCTCCCGGCGCCGGAGGCGGCCATGTATCGAGGAATGGGCACCTCCCTGGGGCCGAAACCAGCTGCATGCAGCAGATTTCGTAACCCCCCCTTTCCCAATCCCCCCCTTTCGCCCGGCCCGAGTGGTAGGCTCAGCGAGGGAGGATGACGCGTCCCGTGTCGACGAGCTAGCTTCACGATTGATGCGGAGGTGAATCCACCATGCCATCACGACCCTGGGCCGTGAGCACTCGAAGAACTGCAGACAACCTCCCCGTCGCTAGATCACTAGAAAAGCAAAGGCAGCTGGCAAAAACATTACAGCTTGCAACACCGAGGGTAGCGAACCGCGGAGCACGCCTCGGCGTGAATAGCATGCCAAAGAGCCTCGGCACGATGGACTTGGAAGAGGGAGAGGGACGTGGGAGGGTTAACACTCACCTCCCCTCAGGTTTCTGTATAGTTTTGGAAGCTGCCACCCCCTACTGGGAGGAGAGATCGGGAATGGTCTGAGACATTCAAATCACTTCCGATGTGGCGAAAACCGTGATGTATGGCGAGGAGCCCACACCAGAACGTGAACGTGAACGCTCGGAGCCTGTACCGTGGCCGTAATGCCTAAAATGAGCACATTTTGGATCCCAACTGGCCCTGGGGCGGGGACTCCGCCACCGACTGGCTTCTGGGACGGGGACTCCGCCACGGAAAAACATTACACCGATGAATTCTGCACAACGGCTGGCAGGACCTGCAAAACGGCCTGGCCAGTGCTCCTCCTCCTCCTCCTCCTCCCTCCTCCTCCTCCTCCTCCTCCTCCTCCTCCTCCTCCACCCCCCTCCTCCTCTGACGAGGGCCAGTCCCCAGCGGCATCGGGCCACGCTCCTCGGCCTGTCGGCCGGACCAGGCCGTCTCTCAGCAGTGCGCGGTGACCAGGCCGTTTCTCAGCGGTACGCTGGCCACCGGGGGCCCCGCCGCGACGGCCGTACATACCTCCCGGGCCAGGGCCTCTCACTGGGTAGTCTGGCGCCAATCTGGCAGGCCCAATCTGGCAAACGGGGGCAATCTGGCGAGGGAGCCAGCGCGAATCCAGTCTGGCGAATAGCCCAAATCATCCAGTTTGGCCGGGCCAGATTGGCCCTTGGGGCCCAATCCAGTCTGACAGTCTGGCCTTCGACTACCCAGCCCGGGCCGGGGCCTCTCAGGCGCCAGACGAGCGCGGGAGCCTGCTGACCCTCGCCGAAGCCGACCTCCCGGCGCAGCCAGGGCGGGCCCCGCTGGGCGCCTCCCCCCGCGGGCGCGGGGGCCGCGCTGGCTCGCGCGCGTGCACGCAGCGCGGGACTCTGTGGCTCTCGTCGAGGCCGGGCGGCCCGCGGCAGGCCCCCGGGCCGACGGGGCTCGCGGCCGTCGAAGTCGCCGAGGTCGGCTGGGCCGATCGTCGTCGAGAGGGGGGCCGCTCCTCCTCGCGGGCGGTTGCGCTGGTCCGACGGAGCCTGGCGCCCGCCTCGCCAGGACTCAGGGACCGCCCGGAGAGGTCGGAGGTCGACTCCGTGCCGCTCGTCTGGCCGCCCGTTGCCGTGCTGGCGGCGGGCTCCATTCTGGGCAGCTCGGGCGCCGTGAACGCCTCGGCCACGCGCTGGCCCGACGTGCCGCTGCCGGGGCGGGGCTCGTCGATCCCCGTGACCGTCGGAAGCTTGAGCCCAACGGGCCTGCGGATGCCGAGGGGGCCGAGGGCGTCAGAGCGCGGCAGGGCGTCCCCACCGGCGGAGGGCCTGCCCGGAACATCGCGTCGGAGCGCCCTTGCCGCCGCGCAGGGGTTCCCGCGAGGAGTCGAAGGTTGCCTCGGCCTCGGTGCGGCCGTCGGGCTGGCCACCTCCGCCCACGCCAACGCCGGCCGTGATCTCCTGAGCTGCTCGCCGACGGCCGGGAGCCGGTCTCGCGCGAGGCTCGCCATCTTTCCCAGCTCTCGAGTTGCGGGGGTCTCCTTCTGCAGCGCAGGGTGCTTTGCCCCCCCAAGCTCGAGCAAAAACGTCTTGAACTAAAATGGCTACGGAGCTGCGCCTTCACTGGTTTGAGGTCGCTTGTCCTCAGAGCCCTTGGAGGCGGCCCGAAGGTCTGAGCTGGATGGGTCACAGAGAATCCATCAAGACGAACGGATGACGGCAAATTCATTCAAATTCGGATCCCAAACCCCTCCTGGGATCCATCTGGTGTAGTTCTCCACCCCGAATCTTTTTGTCCCGACCATCCTGTGGTGTTGGGTCCTCGTTTTGCCGAGACAGCGCCCCGCGTTCCTCACTCACTCCTCCTTCCTCCTTCCACTCCTCCCATCACCTCCCCACTTTGGCACACCCCTCACACGTTTCCTGGCACCAGAAAGAGCTACACAGAAGGTCCCAGTGGAGCAGACCGCATGCGGTTCCCCCGCCCAGTACAGCGTTCCGTGGCCCCAGAGGGGGCTACACCGAAGGTCCAAGTGGCGCAGTCCGCATGCGGTTCCCCCACACAGTAAAACGTTTCGTGGCCCCAGAGGGAGCTCCACCGAAAGCGCAGTCCGCATGCGGCTTCGGTGGAACTCCCCCATACGGCCCCAGAGGGAGCTCCACCGAAGGTCCTAGCGGCGCAGTCCGCATGCGGTTTCCCCGCCCAGTTCAGCGCTTCCTGGCCCCAGGAAGGGACTCCACAGAAGGTCCCCGTGGCGCAGTCCGCATGCGGTCCCCCCGCCCTGTACAGCATTTCCTGGCCCCAGAGAGAGCTCCACCGAAGGTCCCAGTGGCGCAGTCCGTACGCGTTTCCCCCGCCCAGTACATCGTTTCGTGGCCCCAGAGGGAGCTCCACCGAAGGTCCCAGTGGCGCAGTCCGCATGCGGCTCTCCCTTCCACAGTACAGCGCTTCGTGGCCCCAAAGGGAGCTCCACCAAGTGTCCAAACTGTACCGTCCGCATGCGGTTCCCTCGCCCAACACCGCGTTTCCTGGCCCCAGAGGGGACTCCACCGACGGTCCCGACGCCGCAGTCCGCACGCAGTTCCCCCGCCCAGTACAGCGTTTCCTGGCCCCAGAGGGAGCTCCACCGAAGGTCCCAGTGGCGCAGTCCGCATATGGCTCCCCCGCCCAATACAGTGATCCGTGGCCCCAAGGGGAGCTCCACGGAAGACGATACCAACAACTGCGGCACTCACTACTTTACATGGTTGGATTCTTCGCCAGGCTGATGTGTCACGGCCCCAGGGCCCGACGACGGCCCAAGGGAGGCCGAAAAGGGCGAGAAGCCTCCTCGACCCGCATTGCCTCGGAGATCTTACCCCCGCGCCCCCTCCTGCTCGCTGGAACCGTGTACTGAGCCACCTCAGGCCCACAGCGGGCTCCACGGCCCCATCCTTGGCGGTGCGCACAAGGGGGTGGAGGGAAGGGGGAGGGCTTCTTAGAAGGAGGCTGCTTCTGAGATGGCGCCGGCCTTACACCTACAGATACGGCCCGCGCCTTCTAGGAAGCAGGGGTGCTCCTACGAAGCCCTCCCCCCGCCCCCGCCCCCCCTCTGCGCGTGGCTGACATCCCTCAATGCCCCATCGGCGAGCCGACGGTCTCCTCGGAGCCGCCGTGAGACGAGCCTGCCGCAGGCGCCCGTCGACATGTTACGCCACGTCGACATGTTAGGAGTGATGATGGGACTGATGGGACGAGGGGATGGGCCGAAGGGACAAGGGTGCAAGGGCAACCATGGACGGTCCCTCATCCTGGCTGTGCGGGCGGACTGACAAACTGGGGGGGGGACGTGTACCTTTCCTGCCCCGTGGCGGCCCCAGGGGGCCTCGTTGGGGGCCCTCCGAGTGCACAAAGGGTGCACCCATCTTCGCCTCCCCCTTGCATCGCCCCCCCCCCTGACGCAGCGCCCGACCCTCTCGCTCTGACCGTGCTCCGCGTGTCCCGCCGGCGGGGCAGCCACGGGTCAGCGCGGCCGCCAGGGTCTGACTGCCCTCCTGAGCACGGTCCTCAACGGCCCCGGTGCCAACGCGCGGGTCTCCCTCGGCGAGCTGGGGCACAGAGGACTGCAGCTGGCAGCACCTCTGGGCAGTCTCTGGGGCGAGGCCGCGGGAGCAAGCACGAGCGAGGCCTCCTGTGCGGGCACCAGCCGTCAAGATCAGCACAAGCTGATCCAACCATAGATAAGGAACCGAACTCTATACACCGATGCTTTTTGCGGCCCCGCATGGAAATTCGCACAAGAAAGCGGATCCTGGTATATACGGGATCCTGGTGTATAATGTTCCGTTGTTTGCCGTGGAAGACGGGGAAAATGCATACACCACATCACCCCGACGTCGTCCCCGACCCTCAAGAAGTCTTAGGATTGAAAAAACAACCCGCCACTGCTAATAAATATGTTCCGGTTTCCGAATAGAAGTGCCCCTGACCCCTTGGATGGGGACCCATGATAGGAGGGCCAGCGACATTAGGGATAAGGCGTCGTTTTGAGAATGCATCGAAAGAAACCACCCATCTGCCTAGGGCTATCCAGAAATAGCGGGGGGCCAAATGGGGTCCCAGACAAGAATACCTACGTTTACTAGCGACATCCCCGTGTGCATGCTTCGATGGTGTCTTCGTTGACCCGCGCGCGTGCCGTTCGCATCACGGGCCCGCTGAAACGAGACAGCGAAGCACATCGGCAACCCCGATCGAGAGGCGTCAAGATCAGCACGTGCTTTCCCGCCAGAATCGGGGAACGTAAGACTCGGGCTCGGTGGACTTGGGTTGGCTTGACGGGGCCGTCACGGCAGTGACGAGACCCAGCCTGAAATTCGAGTCGCTCCCGCTACATACATCGCACCAAAACTGGACCGTCAACATTCAGGGAGGGCCCGTCAAACAGCGTCGGCAAACCCAGGTTCCGCCGGACTCGAGTCTCACGCTTTCCTGACAGAAGACACCCCCACGACATGTCGTGCCTGTGTGAGAGCTTGGAGAACTAAATGGGGCGGCGCCTGCCGCCACTGTCAACCGCGCTGCGCTCATGAGCATCGCTTACCCGACCCCCATCCCCAGCGGCGTGGCCTGGGCCCCACTGGCCGGGTTACCCCCCCCTTAGATGGGGATGTGGGCCGTTGCCTTCGGGCTTCGCGGGGTGCATCCCCAACCGGGGGGGGGGTCATCTGGTGGGGGCCTCGAAGTGGTGGGGGATGGGGGATGGGCATCGGCGAAACGACACTGAGCTCAGACACCTGGCTTGGGCGCCCGAGATGGGCACGGAAAGAGTGGGCACGGTGCCCAACACCAACTGTTGCCATAAAAACCAGCGGCGGCCGCTGTTGGGCAGGCGGCCTCCTGTTTCGAACGGACACAGGCCGCGACGGCGCCCGGCCCTCGGATGAGGAGGAGGAGGATTTTCTTACATCAGCGCTCAGAGCCTCAGGTCAATGAGGAAAGTGATGAAGGAGTAGCCGAAACCGAAGAAGACGTGATAGTCCCAGGAAAGCGGTAGCTCCCAGCATCTGCTGGAATACAACGCAAAAGCCGAACATTTCATAGGATATCCAATAACTG